ACGCTCTCTGTTGAGGAGAAAAGCATGAATTTGTTTGTATACGGATTATCCATTGTTTAAATGTCCCGGTAGTCGAAAAGGAGGCAGAGCTGCTGAGAAATGCTAGGAGCTAACTGGGCGCTAACCGTATCATTCAAATATATTGATTGTCGCAATGCTGGCAAAGAGAGGAAGTGACGTAAGATTTGCGCATGCGGGGTACCGATTGGGTTTCCGGTACGGATCGAGTAGTGACACAGCCACAGAGCGCCATGCTTCTCTGCTCTTGTGTCACCACAAACTCAGTCCGTGCTGCACGTTACTTCCGCTACCACCAATTACAAAACAAAGTTCCACAATTAAAGGAAACTTACAAATATAAACACAAGAAAAACATTGGAACACTTCACTGTTAGTTACAGCAACTGCTCTGCTTCCCTTCAGGTAAAAGGCTGCTCTGTTCTTAGAGTTGATGACATTGCTCTGTTTGTCACAATAATCCTCACACCAGGAACTCGCATAACCGCAACATGCTCTGTTTTTCTATTCAAGCAACTGTGTTAGTGAAACTTCTTCAGCAAAAATATGTTCAGTTTTTCCCAAATAATAAGATGACGTTGAGCCTTTGTTTCTTCATGATTAGGACAGAGGATCATGAGAAACGTGCAAACAGACAGTTTGTAGAAATGTTTGGTGTGACCACCGCTGAGCACAGCCTGAACTCTCAGCTTTCATCGCTGCATCAGACCTGACTGATGTTTCAGTTCTCGTGTCATTTAGATGATTTCTTGCTCAGAAAAACAGGACAGAGTGGAGCGATCCAGATGCTTTGTGTTCGCCTTGTTTCTTCTATGACACGTTTGTTTTTCTCACACACAGAATAGACATGCTGCCTTCATGACACAGGGATATAAACTGTTGTTTCTGCCTCTTCTTTTCCATCTGTTAGTCAAAACTTTGGGTTCTTGAGTTACTCAGAAGTAACTCGAAACTACAAGATGCTCATTAAGTTGAAATTTTGAGTTTCATAACCATGAAGCATGAAAACTATAAATCTAAACGTGCTGCTGGCTGGAAGATTTCAGATCAAGTGTGCATGTGATGAACATGTTTTCCTGCCCTCTCACGCTGCTGCATGTAGCCTCAGACAAACAGGAACAGCAGTGCCGCCAGCTGATGGCCGGTCTGGATAAGGTCGTCAGTGACCTGGACAAACAGGAGAAATCCATCTACGCTCGAGTGCGCCCTCCGCTGGAACAGAACAGGTCACTGCAGGACAGCACTGACCGCCTGCAGGACATGAAAGTAAGAACGTCCGCTCTGTTCTTTGGTTTGATATTAAAGCTGCTTCTCTCTGCTCAGTTTAGCCACCAAGCAAAGAGAGAGTTTTTGCACTGTGCACCTCACCAGCACACGTTTCTCTGCAGGACATCACTGCTGCTGTCAGAAGGATTGAACCAGAGAAGTCTTCTAAAGTGCAGGAAGCACAGAGCTTCTTGGTCTCAAACCCAAGTTGTGCCAGCACATCTCAACTTCACAGCAAGGTGGATGAGGCCAACAAGAAGTACACCAAGGTGGAGCAGCTTCTTCAGTGCTCTCAGGAGAAGTATGTGACCTGACCATCAGTGCAGCAGCATGTTTTCAGTGTGCTCAGTGACAGACATTTCTGAACTTTGCTTTAGGCTGAAGAATTCCAACCAGCTCGAGTCATCTCTGCAAAATGGAAAAACCTTCCTCTCCACCTACGAGAACAAGCTGGCCAGGGAGGAGGTTGCTCCTGCTGACGTCTCTTCAATGGAGAAAACCCAGCGGGAACTTGCAGTAAGATGGTCTTACATCAGAACAGAATTTATTTTATATACACTGAACTGAAAACTGTTGTTACTGTTTCAGTTTATGTTCCTTCATGTCCAAATTGCCACACGTTCACAGACAGGCGACGTGTCTGTTTGCTGTAGGTTGTCTCAAGCAGTTTGTCTTTTGCTGCCCTGGCAGGATATCGGAGCGGACCTGCGGTCACAGAGGACACTGATCTCTGACACGGAGCAGAACCTGCGTCTGGCCAAGAGCAGCTGTGAGAACATGGCCAACAAGTTCCAAGAGCACTGCCCTGACATCGAGAGGCAGGAAGCTGATGTCCTGAGACTCAACAAGAGATACAATAACCTCAACCAGCAGACTGACTCGAGGTGAGTTGTTAGAATGGGCAGGAAAGCACGTCAGTAATATGTAAAGTATATACAGCACTAGGGCTGCCACAAACGATTATTTTGATAGTCGACTAGTCACTGATTATTTTTGCAATTAGTCAACTAATCAGATCATCATCCATTGGACGTAAAACGTACAGCTTATTGCACCAGCAGCATCTGCTCTTATATAACTATCATTAGCTTACAGCTTTAAGTGTTTAA